CTCCTGCTGCTGCTGTCTGTCGTTTGTTACGTCTTCGTGAGCTACAGGTCCAGTCAGGTTGTTGTCCTCTGTCAGTTTTACTGTGAGGCTGGTCGTGTCGTTTCACTCTTTGAGTCTTTTTAGGTTTCTCGATGCAATCCTTAATTTCCTGCTTGTGTGGTATTATTGCACACTAACCATCAGAGAAAGTATCCTCATCACTAACGGCTCCAGGTGAGCACCATTTGTGGTCTTGAGATTTAACTGATTACAGTGTTTGTTTTTTTAATCAGAATTAGAACATCTAATAAAATGTGTCTTGAATTAGAATTAAAGGCTGGTGGGTTTTTCACCACTACATCTCGGCTTTTTTGTCCGGTGTAATGCTGACATGGTGAGCACTCAAATTCAAAGTGAAGGGTTATAACAGGTTTGGGGTTTATTTATTAGTTTTGCATGTAAAAATGAACTACTGGTAACCCATTATCTTTTCACGCCTTAAGGCCAGATGGGACTCTTTACAAGACATTCAGGAACCAGTTTCTTGCCTACTCCTTGTATCAAAGTCAGTAGTTGTCCTCGTCTAAAAGAAAAACAAATAAAACATAAGATACCATGACTCAAACTGTTCAAAACCTGATGGTTTATTTGTTTTGTGTTGATTCCACAGGTTTTGTTCAGTGTTTGCAGTGCTATTATCAGAGCGGGTGTCTGTACAGACTCCGAGCCCTGGGAGAAAGACACAACATGGATCTGACTGTTGGTGAGACGCTGCAACACACGCCAAGGACACAGAACCAGGCGTGGACTCAACCAAACACAGCTGTAAACTAGAGAAATTGCATTTCCTGCAAAAATACAGTGTGAATGCTTGTTGCGGAAGAACTTGCTGAAAACAGCTGAAATTAGCTAAATGCTGAAATATAGCTGACATGGATGAACGAAGCTAACTTAGCAGAAGAAAACAGAAAGAACACATTTTTGCTGATTTAGGTTTAAATAAGCAGAAATGAGCACAAAAATGAGAAAATTAGCTAAAAAATGCTGAAATTAGCAAAAAAAATTAGCTGAAAATAGCTTAAAAGGCAAAAAGAAACTTAAACTACTAGAAGGAAGCAGAAGGAGCTGAAATGAGCTCCAAGAACGTGGAATAAGCTGATAAAGCTAAATTTAGCATTTAAACAGCTAAATAATAGCTGAAA